AAAGGTGTCATCTACATACCGGATCCATACTTTTGGTTGTATGTGTGGGAGTGCTATAGTTTCTAGACACTACATTACAATTTCTGCTATGATTCCTGAGAATGGTGATCCCATTATCTGTCTGTCTGTCTGTCAGTCAGTCATTTAATAACACTATAATAGTATAAATATATAGCAAAATATTGATACATATTCATATATCAGTGGACATATTAATAAATTATCAAAACCAGCATGGTATATTTGAAGAAAGCATTATGGGAAATGAAAGGAATAGAGAATAATATTAGGAAAAGTAATTAATGACTTAAGGATTTGAAAGAAAGAAAAGGCATACATTAAAAAGTGTTTGTTATATCTTTTTAAATATTATATTTAAAAAGAAGAGATGCATATAGATTCATATTATAGAATTAATATAATTTTACAAGAAATAATAAAACTTCTGGAGATACACTGATTAAAATTGTGGGATCTGGAAATCTCAAAATACTATAGAATTTGTGGGGGAAACAGCAGTATCTGAAGGCTTATCATATATTAACATTAGAACAAATGAATGAATATTTTAACAAGAGAAGTAAACATAATGATAATTTGCATAAATGTGATTTTTTCCTACTTAATAATTAACCATGTAAAAAGAAAGTCTGTGATGAAAACAGTGAACTAAATCACTTATACAGAAAGTTATCATTCTTCATGTGTATAGTCCTGAAAGACCTTCAAGGATATTATAGTTTTCTGAAATGGGCTCTGAGATCAGATTAATTTTGGTATTTATGCATGAACCAAATAACTATATAGATAGTAACTCTGTTCAAGCAATAATGTGCATAACCCAAAATGGGACAAGAGATGAGCAGCCCCTTCCTTCTCCTAGTTGTGCTGGTCAGTGAAATGATAGTCTCCATGTTTTCTCTCTGTGGCAGGAGGCCTTCCTGTACATGTGAATGCTCACATTTGAACTGGTTTCTCCTTTAGAAGAGTTTCACTCAAGTGAAAGCTATCTAACTGATAAGTGGATAGAAAGTGAAGTCATTTCAGTAAGGAATTTCAATGCTATCTTCACTCTAGAACCTAAACACATCAAAAAGGCATAACAAATGTACCAAGGTTCTAAATATATTTCTAAAACGGTTACATATTTTATTTTTAATAGATATATGAAAACCATAGTATCTAGGACAAAAATATGTTACTTTTTCAGCTGCAAATTACTTTTATTTTTAAAACATGCAACATCTGTTTGTGCAGAGGACTTTCAAATACCCTCTTCCTCTGAACATCTACCAAATCTGCCTCAGAAAGTTATCCCTGCCTTTTGAATAGATGTTGGTGTCTGTAAGGCATATATAAAATTCTATGGAGTAGAGATATATACACCCAAGGTAATAATCAATTTTTGAATGTTTATAAGAAATGGTAGAAATGCAACATTCCTTCAGGGAAAGAAATTAACACATCGATGGTTATAATATAACGCAAAAGACATGCAAAACCTGAAATTACTATGCAATACATCAAAACTAAAATTAAAATTAAGAAAGGAGAATCGCTAGATGAGAGTTAATATGCAGTATCAAGAAAGTAACACATTTGATAGCACAGAAGAAATTTTCATTTTGTGGTTATGGAAAAAATTATTTCAAATTATGTTACATACCTAAACTTTCAGTTGTAAGGGCCCAAATTTTTATAGTCCTTCTGACTATGATTTTGATAAAAAACACCTCCTTTACTTAATTTGCAAGTATTTGTCAGAAAGGATATATGAAATGGACAATGAAGAGGGGCCAATAATGTGAAGCTTGTGACTGCATGGCACAGATCCCCTTAAATGGCGGACCACAAACATATAAACGTTTAAAAAAATGTTATTTGTATGGGCAACATTTAAAAATATTGCCAAATCTTAAGTTTCAGAAAAGAGGTCTATCTTGTAAGACATTAGCTTCCCACTGATGAGACAGTGTGAGAATTCAGTTGAAATTATTGACAATTTGTGAGATTTGGCACTTGTGCAAGATTTCAGATGATTTCAAAGTTTTTTGGAGGTAGGGGAACAGGCCAATGACTCAAAATGTTGCTATCTTGAATGCAATAGCTAAGAGTTTAACACATTGTTAATACTGGCCAATGTGAATGTAAAATGCAGAAAATACTGTAGACTACAAGGTCTTATATTGTCAGCAATACTTCTTAATCTAGTGAAGGAACCTATATATAAATTATGCAGAGGATTAAATAGGAAAATCTGAGAGGAGTTGAATGAAAATAATACTTAGACTAATTATATTATATTTAAATAATATTTACATATAATATATTTAATATATATTATATTTAAATATATATTTATATTACAGTTAACAGATCACAAAAAGGTTGTATGCATTTTATAAGCATATTTAGTTATATAGAACTGCTAAGATTGTCATAAATATTATGAGAAGGGAAATCCAGAGTTTTGTTGTCTGGAAAATGTTCTTCTATTGTTTGGGGATCAAACTAGAATATACAGTGGTACCTCGGGATACGAACTTAATCCGTTCCGTGACTCTGGGCGTAT